CAGCTATCCAAATAAAGAAACTAGGTACTAATAAACATAACCTTACATTCATCAAGAAAAAAATCAAGTAATTATACTACTGTCATAAAAAAAGTAAAGCCTACATATCCTATGCTGTAAATAAATAATTATATTTTAACTTTAAATAAAATTAATTTTAAAAATAAGTTTCTTGTCAATTCATAATATCTTAATATGGATAATTTATAAAATACTAAAATAAAATTTATTCTTAAATCTGAACTAGACATTAATTAATTACATTTTAATTAATTATTATTAAAAAAAAATTATCTTTAAGTTTTTTATATTTTAAAATTTAATGTCTTAATATAAAAATTTTATAAAATTTCAAAATAAAATTTATTATTATATTTTCATTCATTATTATTACTTACAAAAATTAGCTCTCACGTTTTTTATTTTAAAATTTAACGTTTTAATTTAAAAAAATTATAAAATAACAAAATAAAATTTATTCTTCAATCTAAACTAAGCATCAATTTAACAATTATTATATTTTAATTAATTATTATTACTAAAAAATTAGCTCTCAGGTTTTCTTATTTTAAAATTTAATATCCAAATTTAGAAAGTTTATAAAATAGCAGAATACATTTTATTTCTAAATCTAAACTAAACACTAATTTAGTAATTAATTATATTTTAATTAATTATTATTATTTTTAAAAAAATTAGCTCTCAGATTGTTTTATTTTAAAATTTAATATCCTAATTTAGAAAGTTGATAAAATTGCAAAATAGAGTTTATTTATAAGTCTAAAATAATTACCAATTTGATAATTAATTATATTTTAATTCACTATTATTACTAAAAAAGTTTACCCCTCAAGTTTTTAGTTTAATTTAAAAATTTAATGTTATAATATACACAATTTATAAAATATCCTAAAAAAATTGTAAATATAACCTAAGCACAATGTCACATTTATGCTGTAATTAATTATTATTACTAACATTAAATTACCTCTCAAGTTTTATGTATTTAAAAACACATTTTATTTACTCTCTTTTTTAGTGAACAATTAAATACTACAACAACATTAACTTCAAATTGTATATCATGTTACCTAAAAGTTATATAATCTTAACTTTTAATTTTTCTTATATAATTACAAATTTTTTAAAAATAAGGTATAAGATTTTAAATATAACTTAAATTTTAGTCAATCTAACTTATAATTTTTTCTATCTTATTACAAATTTCTCAAATCAAACACATAACCTTTTAAATCTAATTTCAAATTTATTCACTTAAAAAATGACGAGGAAAATATAATGTCTAATTTATCATATCTAACTATATAAAGTAATTCTTTCCTGCATTACTTCAACATAGAAAAAAATAAATAATCAAATATGAGTTACTGTATAATCGATTATGTGATTATGTAGACCTCATAATCGATTATGTAATACATTATGGAAATGCGCTTTGTATTATAGAAATGTACTTTGTATTATAAGTGTTTCACTGCAACTATATAATGACCACAACACCAACACCTTCTTACTATTAGCATACAACCAAGGCTTCTTATAGTGTTATCCATGAAGACCGAAGGAAATCCAGTAGAGGTGTGCAATGAACCTGAACTGTTTTGGTCATTGTTTGCAAGTGTAGGAACTAACTTTTCAAGGCTTCTTCATTTCATGAGAACGTTGCATACTACTAGTTGCACATATGAATCCATATGCAATGTTTAAATTTTCTTATATGTGTACACAATTCTTATCCATTTTAATTATTTACATGTTGATGATTTTGACAAACATGAAAATCACTAATATCATAATAATTCAGGAGACAAATAAGACATTTTGACTCTCAATCCCCAACTTTATTATTATTTATTTGAAAAATTATAATTGAATGAATCACATCTCACCACTCTAAATACCTACAAATGAATATATGTAAAAGGAAAATTCATCAGCTCATATATCCTCCCATTCATCTTCATTTGTAAAAATAAACAAAACATAAATAAAATTATGATAAATGAAGTAAAAATGACCAAAACAAAATATCAAAACGATGTTATACTAGGAAAGTAGTTCGGAAGATGTTGATTCCTATGCAAAATACTGTTGTATAAATTAAGAAGGAAAAAAAAAAAGTTGGAAATGAAGTCCATCAATCATTCAATCAATCCTTTTTAGTGTTAGTGTTCTTTTAGGTCGGCTACCTGTACTTGTGGTGTGTGAGGGTAGACCCGAATAAAAACAAAAAGGAAAGTAGGTCAAAGTTTCATTTTTGAAAATTCATACAAGACCTTTTTATCGAGAGAATTGATCATCAACGATTTTTTTATTCTGAAATGTTAACATAATGCCAAAGAATCTTACTTTGTCATTGGTTTTTAGCGGTGAGATTGGAGCCAGCGATGACGTGTTATGTCCACTATGCACCAATGGACCAATCAACATTGCTGGAATGGAATCCGAGTATATCCAACGACGCTTCTATTTCTTTAGACAAAAGGAAGAAAAGCATTATCTGAATTCGTTTTTGCAAAGTTCACGTAATCAATTTTCTAACTGGCTAAGAAGGCAAAGTTTTACAATGATTCTTCAGATGTTTGAATATTCACTGTATTAGTCTTCATCTTATGAATCAACATACTTTTAAGGCGTAACATACATTAATGCTTGTTTCCAATACCCAGATATTAGATGATCGCTCAACTTTTTTAATTGAAATAGTGATGCAAAATTCAAGCGCAAATTGACATTATTTTTTAACACCTTAAAGTCATCTATTATTTGAGTTGTAGTGTTGAGAATTGATGACATGATATTCTTATTCAAATATAATATCATTCACCGAGTTCATAACAAAATAGAATATTCAATCCCATTAAATTTAGTAAAAACAATTTAATTGTTTTTTAATCACCGGTTGGTTTCAACGGTTTTGTGAAATACTTTGATGAAAAAATGAAACCAATTTACTTACTATTTTTTGACGAGTGATAGAAATGATTAAAAGAAAGAGTGAATATTATTTTCTCTAGATACGATGAAACTGTCCCCACCACGTGCCAAGGCAAGTGACAACATAAAGTGCAGTTTTTTGTTAGGTTACTGCCTTGACCGTAATCATGGAGGACAAAATTTGCGCCAAACTTAAACAATAATATTCGTGTAAATTGGTTTATCTATCTTTATCTTACATGATTGATTAGAAAAAAAAAACAAATATTTCAGTTTCCGAAATTGGAATATTCCGTCATTATTCTGTAATGTAAAAATTATGAAAATTCTTAAATAAATTTTACAATTCAAAAAGCGTGATTTCAGTAATCAATTTTACAATTTATATTAATTTATAAATAAATTTCATTTTAAATACTTATTGAACATCTTTTATTTTTAAAAACTAAAATGACGATATCTTTCCATTTCGAAAGAGTGAAGTTAATATTTGCTTAGTTGATTAAGAAAATGCTCACAGTTTTTTAGAAAATGTTATCAATATTTTTTATCAAAAAATATTTTAATCTGTGTAACGTATAAAATAAATGGTTTTATTTAATTAAAATTATACAAATTTAATTAACATCAATGGATTTTTTTCTTACTATATAAATTAAATTTAAAATTTATGATATATTATTTCGGAGGGATATGAGATTAATTTAAATATTGATAATTTTAGTTAACATTATTAAATAAGATAAAAAATAGAGAAGACAAGTGGTTTAAAAAAATTATAAAATATCTTTTGTTACATCGAATAATAGTTTCAAAACACGACATAATCAAAACAAATGTTACTAATCTGATATATAAAATATTTTTTTATCTTACTTTAATAAAGATGTTTGTCAATTCTTTAATCAATATTCTTAACACAAATTATAAATAAAATATTATTAATGATGGTATAAATATATGTTAGATTACTATTTGATTTTGTATTAAAACATTATAATAAAAGTCTAACTTTTTTAGATCTTATTTTAAATCAAAAGTTGTTATTTTATTGTGATTCAAAAGTAAAGTTTAGTGAGAGAGATATGTTAGAAATCTCATAACACATATCTCATTTCCTATTGAAACCTTAATAATTGAACATATAAGAAAATTCTTTAGTTATGTTTCTTTGCTTTGCAAATGTTTTTTACACTGTAAAATTTTTTTTATGTAATTACAAATTTTTTGTCCGTAAAATATTTATTACTTTTTTATCATTTTCAACATAGGGTTGCTATTATTATTATTATTATTATTATTATTATTATTATTATTTACAGTTTTTACATTAGTTATTTTACTATTTAATATTATATATCAGTATATTCTATAGTTGCATTTTTTTAAAAACTTTTATATATATTTTAATTCATAATAGACAAATGAATAAATACTCAACTTAATCAATTTTTACAATATCGATATAATAATTAAAAAGTGGACATGATATCTTACTAGTAAATATTTTTATTTATTAAATCTTTCCCTAATTACATTAATAAAAACATATAAACATATGTAATTCTTTAAAATCTCAAAGGACAAGTTATTTTAGCTTCCTTCCTGATCATTAATGACCATTGTGTCATGTGTCTATAATTAAGATAAGCATAATATAATAAATTAGATGAAGAAAATAGCAAATCTAGCACCTTAAAAAACTAGATTAACATATAATTAATGCACACCAAACATTCGATGACCAAAACCAAACGAATGAATTGAATTCCACTATTCCTTGAAGAATAGAAAAGGGTCATAAATAGATAATTTATTTAAAATATAATAATGATGGTAATTAAATAATAACGGCGAAAAGGGTTCCGTGAGGTATAAATAGAGCGTTTGCGGAGAGGGGAATCAGAAATCGCTGTCGGCTATTCCATTCATCCATTCAGAGAGAGAAAGAGAGCGAGCGCGAGAAAGAGAGAGAGAGAGGGTCCGTTCCTGGACGATCGATTTGGAAATCGGAATTGTGGTTGCGCATCGATCGAATTCTTATGCAAGGAAGGTTCTCCGGTTGGATTTTGATCGGAAGAATAGTAAGATTATGATATATTCTGAGAAGCTGCGTTTCTCTCCTCACCTAAGCCGCTTCATTGCCGGCATCCTCCTGTTAATCTTCTGCAATTCCTTCCAGTTAGTCTCCAATTTCCCCATTCCTATACACCCTTGATTCTGCAGCAAAACTGAACATCGCCATCACTCTTCTCCGATCCGATCCGATCCATTTCCATACTCATTCTATATCTCCCTCTCTCTCGCTTTCAATTCGACCAAGCATGGACCCTAATCAACTTTTCTCCGCGCATTTCCTCGATGGTTAGTTTGTACTTTCTCCTCCTTTGCTTTTCACCTTCCTCTAACTAGGCTTCTATTGCAGTTTTTAGGATTTTATTTTCTCCCTTCAGTTTTATGAATCTTTGTTTTTTAAAATGGTCTGAATGATATTCTCCTTTTTAATAAGCCGATTTCACCTCATCCAACAAGGCTGTTATCCCGAGGGAAACTTCTTTCTAAATCCTTTTAAAACAGAAAAATAAGAAGAAAAAAAAGCTTCTGTAAACTAACATATCTTATGCTTAGGTAATTTATAGATTTTATTTTCTACTAATTTCTCTTTAACTTATGAATAAACAAATATTAGTTCGATGATGTTGTAGTTTTATTGATTCGTGAGTTTTTATTATTATTTTTCTTCAGATTTATTAGCTGTTAGTTTGAGTAGAGATCTTTTATAACCCTTCACTCCCTATAACAACATATTAATATTTCATAGTGATTTATGTTATAAATCTTTTTATAATCTTAATTTTAATGACCATCAATTATAAAATCAATGGTTGAGATGAAAAACCAATTTTTAATGTCTGTTTTGGTGCTACCTTGTGTTTTTCAATGACAAAATTTAGATCCAGTTTCTCACATACTTTTGATGTTAAAATTGGAGTTCTACCTCGATAATCTGTCACCTTTAGTACAAACCTTTATTTGTACTCCATTTATCTTTGGAGAACGCCGTAAGGAAAACAACACTCAAGGAAGTGCGTTATGTCTTCTTGTCCTCTTCAATTTTATGAATAGGTGCAGTGTTTTTTATATATATGTTTTCTTTGTTCTTGTTCAGAGATCTGCTATTTTGTGAATATATGTATATTATGTAGAGCAATGCCTATTATTGCAATCCTGGAGGAAGGCATGTGTCAAAGTGGTTTTGGAATAGTTAAGGCCTTAATCAAGCTACAAAGCAGATAGTTACCTCATAAATATTCTATTTGTTACTAATTGAGCAGGATTCTATATACATCTTTGTGGCCCTTTAATATTTTTTAACACAAATGTTTTTCGCTGGTTTAATCATATTTAAGATGTTTTGATTCCTGTATTAGGGGTAAGTTGGGTAGCACACGAGCATAGTTGAGGAGTGTTTTCTTTTACAATATATTATTCTATAATGGAATGAAATTATTTGCGAGATTTGCAACTATAAGGTCGTGGTTGAATTGTTTTCATTCTCATGTTTTTTTGACACTTTTCATGTTTGTAATATTATATATTAAAAAAGAGTTGGAGAAGTTGCTTTTTGTTGTTTGTAGTTCATTCTCATTATGCAGTAGTATTTTTCTCATGATTTTTGTGTCCAATAATCAGGTACTATTGCCTCTCGCGTTGAGGGCCAAAACAGACCTCTCCCATCTGTTATTGTGATTGGTGCTGGAATATCTGGAATTGCTGCAGCACGATGTCTCTACGATGCATCTTTTAAGGTGTCATATCATTATGATCAATTTCTTCTTTATTTATTTTTTCTATTTTCATTTATTTGGTGACCTTAAAGATTTTTTTTGCTTTTTGCTTTTTGCTTTTGGCTTATTTCATCATTTGCATAGGTGACTGTACTGGAGTCACGAGATAGGCTTGGTGGTCGCATTCATACCGACTTCTCATTTGGTTGTCCAGTTGACATGGGAGCCTCTTGGTAAGTTCAATTTGTTCTAATGAAATTATATCTGTTGACATGTTGCGAATAAAGTATTATTTGGTTAGAGTGAGATACACTGCTTTTGTCCTGACAAGTGAAATGTGCTCCTTCTATAATGAGTGAGAATTTGATGACGCCTTTCTAACCCTATTAGTTCTTGATTATTTTTTAGGCTACATGGAGTTTGTAATGAAAATCCATTGGCTCCATTGATACGTGGCCTGGGGCTTTCTTTATATCGTACCAGTGGGGACAACTCTGTCCTATATGACCATGATTTAGAAAGGTAATAATCCTTCATTTCTGCAATTCCATTGAAAAGTATTTGAAGGTTTATGATGCAAATTTTTAGATATATATTTTAAGAGTATTTAAACTAACCTTCTTGATTTTTACCGAAAAAAACTAACCTACCGGCATGATTAGTTGCAAGTGTACCAAAATGATCACTCTCTGTGGGCCTTAACCTTTGCTCTACACGGAGAGTGGTTCTAAATCACCAATGTTAGACAACAAAAATAGAAGAGAAGTAATGTATTATTCAAAAAAAGAAAAAGAATAATGTATTACTGAGGCGAAATCTGCAATTCCTAAGTCACTACTACCTGCAATCTCCATAGAACTGGCTCCCTCCTCCTTCTTACTCCCTGAAAGGAATTAGAAATGAGCTTATTAAGTAACTCACTACTCAATTCTCCATTTTGCCCTTCTCCATCTATTATTATTATTATTTATATTAATATTATTATTATTATTATTTTATCTTTCTATTGTATGTCTTTCAAACTCAGGGCCCATGACCTACTTGGTCTGGGCTAGGTGATTTGGGAAACCCGACATTGTCTCGTTTGAAAATGAAGCGTTAGCCTCCATAAACGATTTACTGTTTGAAACAGTACAATATTTGGGTCTTTTGCAATTCGCCTGGTGAAGTCTTATGTAGTACTTGCTTTTTCGTTTTTCCAGTTATATGCTTTTTAACAAAGACGGTAAACAAGTTCCACAGCAGATGGTCATTGAAGTTGGAGACACCTTTAAGAAAATTCTGGAAGAGGTACAACCTTTTTCACTAAGCAGCATATGACGTGATGTTTTTCAGTCATAGATGCCGCTCTGATTAACTTAATCTTGAATCTAATGACCTGATGACTACAGACAGGGAAAGTTAGGGATGAGCATTCAGAGGACATTTCAGTTTCCCAAGCTATTTCAGTTGTGCTAGATAGGCATCCAGAACTAAGGTATTTGATTGATTATAGAATATTAATGGCACACATTTGAGGTTTTAAGTTCCAACCGAGTGCTGCAAGTGACAAAGTTTTCTGCAGGCAAAAAGGACTTGCCTATGAAGTGCTACAATGGTTTATATGCAGAATGGAAGCTTGGTTTGCTGCTGATGCAGATATGATTTCTCTGAAAACCTGGGATCAGGCAAGTGCCAATCCACGTTGAAGGATATAAGATATCCTTTTGCCTCTAAACTTCAACAAATGCTTCCGTGTTTATCCATAATGTCATTCATAAACCTTAATTAGCCACCATTTCCTAGGCTAGGGTTATTGTTGAGATAAATGATGAAATCTCGGGACGAGTATAATGAGTAGAAATCTAAAATTTGCTAATTTATATAAAAAAATAATCAATATATTGTTCCATTTGATTATTACATACTTAGCAAGTTAGCATAGTTCCAAATGTTTCAAAAAATTATTGATGAATCATTGATAATAGTTGACTAATATTTTATATTTTTGGAGATAATCTACTTGAAAATCTTTGTTTGGCATATGAGCTTGCCCATGATAAATTTTTTTCACTATTGTCATAGGTATAGGGGGATATCTAAACATTGCTAATTTATATTAAGGTTGAATAGTTTATTTGGTCTTTAAAATTGTATGGTTGTTTCAAGTTCAAATTGAAATTAGTTTTCATCTTTACATTCATTTCTAGTTTAAGTAGACCATTTGCCTTGTATAAAATGGAGATGAATATTTTTTCACAGAGTGCTTCAATTTTTATTGTTGTATTCTACATGTGGAAATCAACTGACCATTATTTAATAACCCAAATTAATGCTTACATTTTTGAGGGTCCTGATTATAGGAACATGTCCTTTCTGGTGGTCATGGACTCATGGTGCAAGGATATGATCCTGTTATAAAAACTCTTGCAAAAGATATCGACATACGTTTGAATCACAGGTATGCCTGCTAGATCTAGTGCCTGAGTTAACTGCACGCTCATTTTTCTTTATCTTTTTACTGACTATGTAATGAGTAGAGAAACAAAACAGAAAAGTAAGTTGATGCCATGTTTGGATCCCAGAGAATAATAAGCATTGGAAATTCTTTTTTGTTTTCTTTTTTGGTTATCAATGTTAAATTTCTGTTGATTAGAAATGTTATTTGTAAAACCTATATACCCCTTGGTCTTTTTCCTAGTTTTTTATTTTTAAAATACGAACATGTTTAAGTGGCTTACTTGATTGAATAAACATTTGTTGGTAGTTGAGTTACCATCCATAATTACGAACAATATGCCACAATTAATTTCAACTTTACTTACGCCAAACTCGTCTTGCTGTAACTTGAGAGTTGACCGGCAGGTGGCCACTAAAAAATTTGAACACATTAAGTCTTGATTTATTTATTCTATTTATAAATAGGATTAGTTCCCTAATTTTTCCTTTATCCCGATTTGATCCTTATGTGATATCTCACCATGTAGAGTGAAAAAGATATCCAGTGGTTACAACAAGGTAATGGTTACGGTTGAGGATGGCAGGAACTTTGTTGCTGATGCTGCTATCATAACTGTTCCTATTGGAATCCTAAAAGCCAATTTAATTGAATTTGAACCAAAACTTCCTGATTGGAAGGTTTCAGCAATTTCCGATCTTGGTGTGGGCAATGAAAATAAGATTGCCCTAAGATTTGACAAAGTATTTTGGCCTAATGTAGAACTCTTGGGCACTGTTGCTCCAAACTCTTATGCCTGCGGCTATTTTCTCAATCTTCACAAAGCAACAGGCCATCCTGTTCTTGTCTATATGGTAGCTGGAAGGTTTGCTTATGACATTGAGAAGCTATCTGATGAGGCAGCTGCAAAATTTGTAATGCAACAGCTCAAGAAGATGTTTCCAAATGCTTCTGAGCCAGTAAGTCTATCTCTAAAATTTTTATCCTCATACTCTGCCCATCTATTAGAAGTTTGATTCTCTAGTGTTGCACCCTGACTCTTGTTTTGTTGCACTTTTGCAGGTTCAGTATCTTGTGTCTCGATGGGGAACAGATCCAAACTCTCTTGGATGTTACTCATATGATTTAGTTGGAAAACCACATGATGTGTATGACAAGCTTCGTGCACCCTTGGGCAATCTATTCTTTGGGGGGGAAGCTGTAAGCTTGGACAACCAGGGATCTGTGCATGGAGCTTACTCCGCTGGGATTATGGCTGCAGAAAATTGTGAGGCATATCTTTTAGAGAAACAAGGCCCCGTGAAGCTTCGTCTAGCTTCTGTTAGACATGAAATGCTTCAAGCTCTTATACCTCTTCAGATCTCAAGGATGTGATTTGTTTTTGTTCAGTTGGTTTAAGAATTTGAATCTGCATGATGGAGTCGAATAGCTTTTGTTTACCTTTTATTTTAGGCTTGGGTTATTAAGATGTATGTACGTCTCGTGCATCTTAGACAACACAGTACACGTAAGACCATAACTATTGTGATCCCAACAAGTAATGTGGGTGTCCTTCTTGTAGAGGTAGCTTCTCAACAATTTCCTTAATCACCATCTTGGCAGACAATGTGCTTTCTTTCCTTAGGTTACTTTATTTGTTTGTCTTTCTGTTTATTGTGTTTTTGCATTATGCCGAAAGAGAGGACAAGCGCGTGGGAACATCTCATACTAGACAAACAATAAGAAACAGATAAATGCGCTACTCAAAATTACCCACTTTCATAACCAGGGTGCATTAGTTAAGTCCTGAATTTTATATTTCATTGAATAGTCTTCAACTTTATTTTCTTATTGCATGTTTGAAATGAAAGACACGCGTGTCGTATGGTTAATGTGATGCAATCTCCGAATTTATTGTTTACCCCTTGATTAGGAACAACCTACAGCAAATCACATAACCAAACTTTTCACACAGACATCTTTGTCAAGTCATTTAAGGACACCATTATCTCTTTAACAGTTTGTTTATGCAACTTAGATTCAAAGGGAAGGTTATTTAAGCAAACATGATCCTCGAGTTAACGCACAATTCCTACTTCCCAAAAACAATGAACGTCCAAACCTGAAGATATCAGAAAAAAAAATACTTATCTAATTTATTTATTTTTTAGTTTTAAAAATAATTTTACATACTAATTTTGAAGTTTTATTTTTAAAATAAATTAGAGAAAACACTTACATTAAAAATTATTTTAAATGAAAGACAATAATATAGATAATAAAAAATAGTAACAAAAGTTAATAAATAATTTTAATAAGTTCATAATGATGAAAATGAATAACATAAGTAATTGTTGACGAATACATTCATATTTATTCATGAAAATAAAAAATTAAAAATAAACATTTGATATCAACTTTAATTTCTAAAACTAAAAAATAAAATCAATTTTACAAATTGTTTTAAGAAAATAGTTATTAAATAAGTTTTTCTTCACTTCACTATGTCTAGTAATTGCTTAAGTTAGAATTCATTTATCTCAAAATAACTTAAGAGTCTTATTTGAACTTGTAGGCTAACATACATTTTCTTTTGGTAAGTACATTTTCTAACATGAAAAAAAAATAAAAAATTACTGGTCTCTCCAACAAGCTTAAAGGGTATTTTTGTCCTAATGGGAATGTAAATGATTTTGCTATCATTCTAATAATAATAAATATTTCATATACAGAATATCAAATTAGTTATTAAAATATAATTCATCACACTCAAAATTATACATCGATAATATTGAAAAGAGATTCACTTCAACTAAAAACTTATTATTTATCTTTATCTTAATTGTTAAAAATTTATTATCTATCTCCACCATTTATTTTCTTCTTATTTAATAATTAAAATAAATTAATATATTAGATCATTAAATAGAAATAAATAAATGATGAAAATAAAAAATAAATTTCTATTTTTGATACATTTAATTATATTATATGAGTTATCAATCAAAATTTTTATTTTTTATTCATACATTTAATACTCAATACTTACACTATACTCAAATCTAATAGTGTATAATAATTATTGCATACGACTCATATAATTAATGTCGTATTATTTCATAATATAATTTTTTTTATAAAATAAAATATTATAGAATAAAAATACCCAAGTATCACAATTATACCAGATTAAAGACATTTATGAACCAATTTTAAAAAAATGTAAATAAGAAAATAACTTATTCTGTTTTTTTTTTACAAGAATAAACGTTTAAGCTAAAAAATTCGTGTTGAGCAAAAATCTAATTTTGGCTTGAACAAAAATTCATTTTTCCCTTAAGTGAAAAATGAGCAAGAGAAAGGGAAAGCAACTTCTTAAATCTACATAGAAGTCAGACATAAATCAAAAAATTGTTGATGTTACTGCATTAAATCATTTTATGTGATAATAAAAAAAATTATTTTGATAAAATAACACAGTTTAAAAAACAAATAATGTAATATTTTTAAGGATACGATATATTTTTTATATAACATTAATTATTATGTTAATACGTTAAAGAATATATTGTTCATAATGGCTTCAATGACTAAATTAAAAAAAAAAAAAAGAGAGAGAGAGAGAGAGAGTATTGTGAACCCCATTCAAAGAGAGAATGAAAATCCATTAATAATCCTTCATTGGCAAAGAAGAAGGGAAGGAGAGAGGGATCAAAGTTTGATTGTTGCTTTTTGAGGGAACTTTTTAAATTTTGCCCAACTTGTAAGCAAAAGCAATTTCCAATTTGTATGTCAAAGTCAAGCCACCAATAACCACAACAATAATAATAATAATCACAATAAAAACAATAAATATAAAAAATAAATTAAATAAAGGAAGCAAAAGAAAAGACAAAAACGACACCAAAAACAAATAAAACGAACGCGTTTGGAAGCAGACGGTAGCAAGGAAACCCACCGTGAGCGAAAAGCAACAGAATTCAGAGAGAGAGAGTTTCTTCTTCTGTCGCTTTGATTTGATTATTTCAATCTTCAATCTCTATATATCCGCAAAGTTCAAATTTCTAATCTTTCGCGTATTGGGTTCTTCTCGTTTCTCTCTGCGTTTCCGATCGACCCAATTCACTTCTCATGGCTACGATCGGACACAACAACCTCAATGCCAAATTGGTGGGTCCATCCACACCCTTTCGATTTCCTCTGTTTCTACCTCAATTTTTTCGATTCCGATGATGTTTTGACTCTGTTCTTTTCGTCAGGTTCTTCTCGGGGACATGGGTGCTGGGAAATCCAGCCTCGTTTTGCGATTTGTCAAAGGTCAATTTCTTGAATTTCAGGTTGTTTTTCTTAGCTTTTGTTTTATTTCTTATTTGATTTCTTTGTTTTTTATTGGGTTATTCTCCGAATTTAAAGGGTTTTCTTTTGTACGCTGAATTTTTTTATTTGGGTTGTTGTTTATTTTGACAAAACTTCACGTTTTTCATTACGGGTGTGCGTTGTGTTTAGCTAATTTATGCTGATTCGGCTGTGAAATTGGCGGATCAGAGATGGATTTTGTTGTATGGAATGATTTTTCTTAAAAATTATTATTTAGACTATATGGAATTTCGGTTGGTCTCGGTACAACCTAATTTGATCATGGAGGTTATGATGGTAGTGATCATTTAAAGTTGTTCTTATTACTGTGGAGTTTAAATAGTTGTGTGTGGTGGGGGAGAGAGTATTTTTCTTGTATTTGTAGTTGTGTGATGATGGTTTGGGGTTTTGACTTCTGAGAGAAGTTGTTTTGTGTGTCATGAGTCTTAGAGATAGGGAAACATGGGGATTGTGTTGCTGAAATTATATGTTTTTTGTTGTGACAGGAATCAACAATAGGGGCAGCATTCTTTTCGCAGACACTGGCAGTAAATGATGCAACGGTTAAGTTTGAGATTTGGGACACAGCAGGACAAGAGAGGTACCATAGCTTGGCTCCCATGTATTACAGAGGCGCTGCTGCCGCTATCATTGTCTATGACATCACTAGCTTGGTATGATATCTTTGCCTTTGGATATCTCTGTATACCTATTTAAATTGCCAATATTTGGGGCACATTGACTGTTGTAGGGGATAGCGTGCTACAGTAGAGTGGCCATGGCCCCTTATGTGACTCAAATACTGGAGTGATTTTTAATGGTGGCTTCTTTCAGTGTGCTATGGTGGTGTTATCACGATATCAGCTTTAAAAACTAATTGTTACCCCTGAAATAGTTTTGCTTCATCTTTTTTGGATAAATATTCCACCAAAAATTACCTTTGTTTTGGCTTCTGATCTTCCGCAGTTTACCAGACTGACTTTTTTCTCGGTGTTCTGCTCTTTCTTCTTCCTTTAGACTTCCTAGCTTGCATCTTGTTAACTTTTATCTAACTACTTATGTTCTTTAGAAACTAATATCACATCATCTTTTATCTTTTGGCTCCATTAGTATGTTTTTATTGCTCGTAGATTGATGTTGATTGTATGTAACTTGTGAATTATTATTTTGGTTTATGTTGTTTTTTGTGTATATTATAAACTATTTAGTTTCTACTAAAATATTTAAAATAGCAGTAATCCTGCTCCATTCTAGCATTTTCAAGGTTGACTGCTATGTAGCGCTATACAAGATTGATAAATATGATATTCATTATGTTCTAATGTAATTTGATGCTCCTATTTCTTACATGTATCTGTACTTTATGTAAAACATATAAAATGATGATTAGTTTATCACGAGACAAGGAGAAAATAGCAGCCCGCATGTCCTGGCTAGTCGGTCTCAAAATTTTTTATTTGTTCTGCTGAGTTATTTGAAAAAGCAAGTGCTTCTTTTGCCACATTTCATGGGTCAACTAAATATAATTTTGGACTGATGTTAAACATAATAATCTGTCTAATTTCATTCCATCCTTGTGTTTATATTGAAAGCATTTTTAATAAAATGGAATTTACATATTGTTTGAATTATACCTTAAAGTGAAAATAGGGAATTGTGTTTGTGTCCTACTCATAAGATACACTCTCTTAATCAGGGGATAAATGATTGGTCCTATTCAATCATAAACTTTGCACAAGATGTTCCAGAGCAATTCTTGTATGCACGGGGTCTACTTGTTCTACTCCATGCTATCACTTCTTGATACTAATGAATGAGAGGAATAAGTTTAGTTAAATTAGTTTGTTAATGATCAACTTCCTCCAAAACATAAAGAGCTCATGAATGTTTTTATATGTAACTCCTCACACAAATGTCCTCTGGGCTTGAAATGTAAGCAGGCTTACATCTTGTACTGAATTCATCCTTTTAATATTAAAGGAATGAGGATAGCAAAGAACAAACTCCTGATCACTTAGCCTGTGTTTGACTATGTAGTGGGTTCGGAAAAATTGCACAAAGTGTGTGAATATTAGCGGCTGGCCATTGTTGCTTCAACATCAACACTGAAATTTATTCGATTTTGTTCTGATGCACCTCACATACAACTCATAATTAGTCAAGGGAGCCCTGAATTCATGCCAAGAGTTGACTCTCCAAAAATCTTAAGTTGTTAGATGAAGGACCATGAATGATTTTTACATATCACAAAATTCATTGAAGGTCTTGTGTAATTTTGCAACGAATGTATTTGTAGGGTGTGTTTGTATGGTGAACATTATTGATATTGAACCATTCTTGGCGTAATGGATCACAATTAATACTCCCGAATTTGTATAATAGATCAAATTTCATAGCACGGTTCTTTCATTTGATTGGTATATGCCGTTGCCTTTTCATGGGGCTGAAACTACGCGATTAACATAATTGTCAATTTAATGAACTTTTATATGATTTATTCTATCTTCCCTTTACAGGACTCTTTTACCCGAGCTAAGAAGTGGGTCCAAGAGCTTCAAAAGCAAGGTATTGGTTTTAAAAGTTTTCTTATGTTTCTGTCAAATAAAGTTGAGAGTACATAAGAATATTTAAACTATTTATTAACCGTTTACAAACTTCTGAATGAGATCTATTTGTATCTTAATTTTACCACAATGTTTTAATATTCCTTTTGTCTTTTTCTTTTGTATTAGGATCTCAACTGGTAGAATTGATTTATATTAATCATTTGAGAAAACTTAAGTCATGTTTTGTAATGGAATGGTGGAGGTATGGATGAATTATACATGATACGGTTTGAGAATGTGTGCAAGAGAAAATTTTAACAAGTTAGGGAGATTCAATTAGTTTTTTAAATTTTATAATTGAAATGAATATTTATTTTTAGTTCCCATAAATGAAATAGAGCCGTAGTGCAATGGTAAAGTTGTCTCACTGAAAAAAAAAACATCTTTCATGGCAATTGGAAGGCTGCATACAATTACCCTCCCTCACATCTTTGCAAAGAAAGCAGTTTCTAACACCTGGATATGTTAGTATATTTCCCATAAATATTACCAAGACTCATCTATCAAAATCTAATCAACAGGTAGATAATATAGGTGATGCTTTAGTTGAAAAATGGTGCTTCGATTGAGGGTTCTCTCAGGACTATTAAATTAAATATTGGGCTACTGATAGTTTCTGTGGTTAATACTTTGAGGTAGTTGTAGTCACAACCAGATTCACGACTTATGCTCAGTTTTTTTTTTTTTTTTTGGGTTACAGGAAATCCTAATATGGTCATGGCTCTTGCTGGTAACAAAGCTGATTTGGAAGATAAGAGAAAAGTGACAGCTGAAGTAAGTATTATTGTTTTCCAATATTCCTTTTTATTCCATGTCACTTATCAAGAAAGGTATAATCTCTTAACAAAATCGTGTATTGATTGCAATACGTTATGAATTCTGAGCCTAAAAAGTAAATCACATTTGGCAGAAAAATACTTACATTTAGCAGCTCTAATGTCCGTGAATCTTTAACAATGTATTCCGAGCCTAAAATTGTAGGTTTTAATTCAAAAGTATTTTTAATGCAAACTCCTTTGCAAAGGTGCAAATTTTATAAACTGTTTGAGCTTGGAATGGTTTATCTATTGTTATTTTAGTTTTATTTTACTGGGTAGTTGTTTTCCACCATAGTAAAATTTCAATTTGGATACAAAAAATGCTATAATGTTTAGTTTACCATTGCAGCGTTTTTGTAGTCTTCTGTTACGATTGGTAGCTTGCACATGTATGTTTAGTATCATTTTTATAATATGCTATATTGACATTTCTTCTGCCCACCAGTTTAATGGGTTTGACTCATTGATATTGCAGGAAGCACGTGTATACGCTGAAGAAAATGGTTTGTTTTTCATGGAGACCTCTGCCAAAACTGCATCCAACGTTAATGATATATTCTATGAAATAGGTGTGATTCCATACCTATTTTGTCTTATGTTGCTTCATGAGTATTTATTTTCTTCATCTTTTGATTGAATGACTTGCAATAAAGTTAAGAGTACATTCGTGATCAGCTCATAGAGGGAGGAAGCCTTCAAAGGAGATTGAGAAAATATCTGCCCCCACTTTAATGGCCTAGTTGCTATTATTTCTACTACTAATTGAAGTTTAAATTCATAAAAAAATTGTAACTAGTTTACAGTCTTTGACTTATGTATCTGGACCCGTTGATGACATATCCTACATATGTACCTTTTGAGCTACATAACGTTACAACATTTTGTCACTTATCCTTTTTCTTTACCGTTCATTACACTTTAATGCATTCTACAAGCTATGCATAAGTTATAATTAGTTTTTAAGAAGCAAATTAAATGAGTTTTTATTAACTTGTGCATGGGTTAATTTTTGTTCACAAGAAGCTGATTTCATTTTAATTTATTTCATACAAGTGCTAGGAGAATTTTATTCAAAACACTTTATATTTTTCTGTTCGTAGTAGTTTTTGCATTTTATTTTCTGAATCTTTGTTAAAGTTCATATACAGGAAGCATGCAAATAGTTTCTATGATTGAAGTAAGATACCTTAAACTGGTGATCCTTGTTTACATTGTTTGACTCACATTTTGTTTTTTTGAGCAGCCAAGAGGTTACCAAGGGCCCAGCCAGCTCAGAACCCAGCAGGGATGGTTCTTGTTGATAGACCAGCCGAAGGAACTAGGGCTGCGTCATGCTGTTCATAAATTTCTGAGCTGTATTTGCACCCCCAACCCTTTTTAATTAATCATGTTTTCTGTGGTTTGTATGCACTACACACCTTGATGTCACTGTTATGTAGAGATCCAACAAGTATATGGGCTGCAATTTACAAAACAACTTGATGCTGCAAAATATATCCTTTGGATGTGTTCTTTTGGGTGTATTGAGGTGAAAAGGCGTGAATGAAGCTTTATTCCTACGCTGCAAAATACATTCTCTCTTTTTTACTTTTTCTAAAAATATCCTCTCCTTGTTCAATAACGTATTGTACACTAATAACAAATCCTAGTTAGACTAAATTCAATGTGGTTTCTTTAATATTACCCAGCTTGTGTGTCTACTTTTTTTTCTTTGTGATAATAAAATTAATTAATATAATTAAAATGTATTTATTCATCAGTAAAATCATAAGAAACTGTATATGTAAAAAAATAGTCACAAATAAAACGCAAATAGTTATCAAACATTAAATATAAAATCGTCATAGTTATATGTAAACTTACTCATTTACATCATCGGAAACACCTCTTCGGTATATATATGTTTTTTTTATGATTAAAGAAAAGTGTGTGAAATAAATTTAAAAGTGATGATTAAAGATATTTTAGGCTTAAACTTTTACTTATGTTTAATGCAGCGTTTCATGATTGTAGAAAGTAAATAGATTTGGACTTTGAGTAGTTGGGCTAAATATAGTATGAGATAAAAGATGGGTGAGCTTAGGAACTAAGAAGTGTAAAAAGGAATCAGAAGACCCAACCTTTCCTTCTCCTATTTTCTCTTTTCTCTTGCTTTGTGCAATTCAACCTCCAATGTATTTGGATTGCATGCATGGGGTTTTGTTGGGAATGAAAAGGGATTGATGAGTTTGAACTTATTTTGAAAATATTATATTTTTTTTGGTAAAATTCTAATTTAATATGTAAAATGACATAATTATATTCCATTCCAAAATGCTTATTTCATAAAAAAAATTATTTATTTTTTATTTTTTTAAAGCACTTTTAAAGTTTATTATAATAGTCCAATAATTGTTGATTTGATCGTATTATCGCAAGTATTTTATTCAGATAGACTGTAGTTTATGTTTATTCATAATGGTTTACTTTACAATAATTTACTTTACACAAAATTATTGTGTATGAATGTTTAAAAATGTAGTCATAAACTCAGAAATAAGGAGTCAAACTTACTACACCCAAAGTTGTGAAATGACAAGTTTTTTATATTCCAAAAATATGAATTTATTTGGATCACTACTCCCTTATCACTTTGTTCGTTCATTATGTATATTAAGGTTATGTTGTGTTTTTTTATTATTATATTTACAAGGGTTATGTTGTGGTGAAAGTTAGGTGACTTAAGTAATTCAATTTTCAGCAGAATAATTATTAAGGTGAAAAATATTGTGGTATGTATAAATTATGAAATAATAAAAAAGAGTAATTAAAACTAAATGTAACACTTGAATATCATATTACACTAAAACGCCTAGACTATTGAATTCTTAAATAGAAAGAATAATCCTTTAACAATTTAACTGTAACTTTTAATTTAATGATAATGTTGAGGGTTGTTGATGTGATGGGTTATTAATAAATGATTCAGAATCACCCAAATGCATTTATAACAAATAATCAATATTATTTTGTATTGACCTATCATACTATAACTAGTTAAATTATTTCTCACCTCAATTGCACATCTTCTTTTATTTTTATTTTTTTAATTATAATTAATTTCTCACAAGTAATTACAAATTAAACAGTTATTTTTAAATTATATTTTAAAATAATTTAAAATATATTTATAAGTTTATTTTAAATAATAATAATATAATTTAGTTTATATCTAAATAAAATACATATTTAAATAAAATAAACATTTTAAAATATTAAAAAAAAAATATATATATATATATATATATAAATAAAAAAAATTATAAATATTTTATTAATTACTTAGATAATATATTTTTATGATAAATGTCATATAATTTGATATTTTAATAAATAATTAACTCTTAAATTTATTAAATTATTGAATCATTATTTATATAAATAATGATTTTTCACACTAATTAATGAATTATTGATTGGATATTTATATTATTTATAATTTTTAAAATACTTAATTTAATTTAAAATATATATATATATATATATATATAATTATTCATTGATTTAAAATTTGTATTTTATTTATATTTAAATTATATTATATTATTATTTCAAATAAATTTTAAAATTATTTTAAAGTATATTTTTTCTCAAATTTAATTAATTTTTTATTTTAGGTTACATGTGAAAAATATTTAAATAAAAAAATAAAGTGCAAGTTAGAAAATTTTATAATAACAAAAGAGAGATAAAAGAAAAAAAATGTTAGGTGAAATAACAGGTCAAGTGGACATCTTATAATTACCCTAATAAAATATTATTTTTGGGCGTTCAAGCTTTGCCACCTACAGACAGTGATTCAGGGTTTTTCTTTTTATATATATAAAAGTCAAGAATGTAGTATGAACAAATAAAAAATAAAATGAACGTGCAATTGTAAAAGTTATTTAAAAATAAAAATAAATATTTTATTATGAATTTTATAAATTAAAATTATTTATATAAATATTTTTTTCTAATCTTATGTAATTTTCTTTAATTTTAAGTAATTTAAATATAAAATTCATAGTAAAATATTTATTTTTATGTTTAAACAGTATATTCAAATTCAACTTAGTTGTGATTAGAGTAATATGGCGAGAAGATATCTCATAATCTGTTTTGACGTATAATTTGTAGTTTTTGGTAAAATTACGAAACATGATTTACATTTTATATATATATATATATTTTTAATATTTAAATTAATAAATTATTTACAAATTTTTATATTCTATAATTATTTCAAATTTTTTATTTTTAATATTTAAGTTCATTTAATATATTATTATTTATTAATTTAGCAATTTTTAAATTTTGGTGGACCACTCTGATTTATTTTTTTTGGAGTTGGAGACGGATGGAAGTTAATTCGAATTATCATCTTAACTGTAATTTTTTTAATTTATAGAGAATTTATTATAGACTTAATTAGTATATGTATTATTTGTTTTAATAAGATAAGAAGAGAAATTAACTTATTTATAAATTAAAAATAAATAAAGGAAATACATTTTATTTGTATCATTTTATATTATGCAAATAATATTTTAATTTCATACAAAAATATCATATAACTTTTTAATATATATTTATGCATGAAGTATTAATTAAGGTAGTCTTGGAGAAAAATTTAATACATAATTGACTTTGTAAAAATTACAATTAACTTAGATTTTTTTTTCTTTAAAAGGTGATAATATAATAGAAGAAGCAATTTATAAAAGAATAATTAATTTTGTTTTAAAAAATAAAAAAACAGAGTTGCTCTGTGGTTCAAACATGAAAGCAAGGTAAATTTATGCCTCGGAATAGTGGAAGTAATAGCCATCTAGATACAAGCAAATAGCTTAGTCTATTTACACAGGATATCCATTTTTTCTCTTCTTCCAATTAGAAAATAAGATAATAAAAAGAAAAAACTCACTCACTACATCACTAGATCTAAACTTAATTCAAAGACGAGACATAGCCAAAATTTGATCATGATTATTATACCCACCGATGTTATTTTGATCCACTTGGCTACTCTTCTTATTGCTCTGCACATTCTCTGGAACCACAAAAGCCTTTGCCATGACCCTCAATTCGAACTTCTGAATCTTCCCAGTTGAAGTCTGTGGCAGCTTCTCCATGAACTTCACCACCTTAGGGACCATAAAGTGTGGCAAGTTCTTTCTGCAATACCCAATTATCTCAGCCTCGGTGACCTCATTTTTTGATGAGGAGTTGTTGTTTTTCTTGAGTGACACAAAAGCACAAGGGCTTTCCCCCCACCTTGGATGTGGCATTGCCACCACCGCAGCCTCCAACACCCATGGATGCCTATACAAAACAGACTCAACTTCCACACTAGAAATATTCTCCCCTCCTGAAATGATCACATCCTTAGACCTATCTTTGATCTCCAAATACCCATCAGGGTGTATCACTCCAACATCCCCAGTTCTAAACCAGCCATTCCCAAAAGCCTTTGAAGTTGCCTCATGATCTTTGAAGTACCCCATCATGATCCCACTCCCCTTCAACACAATCTCCCCCATTGTCTTCCCATCTTTAGGCACACTCTCCATTGTGTCAAGGTTCTTCACATCAACATCAGCCATTGTCAGCACACTCACGCCTTGCCTGGCCTTCAGCTGGGCCTGCTCCTGCTGGGACAACATGTTCCACTTTTTCTGCCACTCACACACAAGTGCTGGTCCCGTGGCCTCTGTTAGCCCGTATGCATGCGTGACATGAAACCCAAGTGACTCAATTTGTTCAAGCAATGATGCTGGTGGTGGTGCGCCCCCAGTAAGAATCTCAACCGGAGGTTTCCCTTTCAGTCTTATCTCACACCTCTCACTAGGTTTTGCTTCTATGATTATGTTGAACACAATTGGTGCGCAGCACATGTGTGTTACGTTGTGAAGTACAATGTTCCTATAGATGTCACGTGCTGCTGTGGTGCGAAGACACACGCTCGTTCCGCCACGTGCTGCCACGCCCCACGTGAAAGTCCACCCGTTGCAATGGAACATAGGTAGTGTCCAAAGGTAAACAGGTTCACTACCCATTTCCCACCCCAATATCAAGCTCAGGGTGCTTAGATATGCTCCTCTGTGGCTATAAACCACACCCTTTGGCTCTGAAGTTGTTCCTGATGTGTAGTTTAACGCAATTGGAGTCCACTCGTCTTGGATCATCTCAGGAACATAATTTGGATTACCATGATGAACCATCTGCTCATATTCTAGCTCACCCAGACGGATCCCAGTGGGGGAGTTTATGTCATCTATGACGATGACCAGGGGGAGAGAAAATGTGTTGTTGTGTTGATTTGTTGGTTTTGCAGTACTATCACCCTTTTGCTGCCTGTTGATGTTGTTGTCGTCCATGAGCATTCTAAGGGCGTCTCGTGCCTTGGACACAAACTCGTAGTCCACAAAGAAGATTTTGGCCTCAGAGTGACGAAGAATGGTGGCTATGTTCTTGGCATCAAGACGGGTGTTTATGGTGTTGAGCACAGCACCTGCCATAGGCACTGCAAAATGCATCTCATACATCGCTGGAATGTTAGGGGCCAGCACTGATACCTGTTGCATAAAGCAAAAAAGTTAAACAAATTATTAGCATACGTATTCCCCACTTATCAATCCCTTGAGCACTCAGTATCATGTGTGTAAGAAGTAGACAAACGACAGCTACATACACATCTTCTGCCAGCGCATATTCTTACTGACACTTTCCATTATCACTCCATTCTCAATGAAAATCAAAATTGTATAAATGTCATACTCTTAAAATGTTTTTTTGTTTTTATAAACCAGTATACAAAGTTTGGGACCGGTAGAATGGGAATAATTCGGTTTTCAAACAAGCATTTCTCAGATATTAATTCACAACTATGCATTCAATTATATAATAATATATTACTATTATTATTATATTACTATTTCAAACGTCGTCAAATAATCAGTGCTCATAAGTTAGAGTTAATTAACTTTTTGCCTTGATCTTGGTATTCTGAAAATTAATACTCTTGGTACAAGAAAAAATAAGACAACTTGTGTAGTCTCATTTGATCTTGGGAAAACGTTGTTTAAAGATGAAAGGATAGAAAGTGGGAGTGGGATAGAGATGATTGAAGTCTGTGACATGGTGTTAACTAATTATTCAATGTTTGAACAACATTAACTTGTTGAACTTTATGCTGTGTTGTAAGGATTTGGAGTTTTGAAGTAGAAGAAAGTGACGGAGGAAGCAGAAGAAATAAATTGTTACACTTACAACATCAGTCCTAGAAATGTTGAGGGCTCGGAGAGAGGAAGCAAGGCGACGGCATCGCTCATAAGTCTGTGCCCAAGTGAAACGGGTCCCTTCATGGATCACTGAGGCTCTGTTTGCAAAGCATGCAGCAGCTCTTGACAGAAACATTAAAGGGGTGAGTGCTGTGTAGTTTGCTTCGCACTTTAGAAGGTTATCCATGTTGGAGGCTGTACTGAATTATGACCAAAAAAATATGTGTCTACGTGTGTATGTTGCGAAGAGATATAGGAAGAGAAAGGTTGAGTCGAGGGTTGTTGAGTTTCAGAAGGAGAGTGAGGGTTCATTTATATAGGAAAGAGTGAGGGTTCATTAATTGATTGCGATAGGACACCAAGGTTTGTTAAGGGCCACGTTATTTACGAAGGGTAGTTAGGCCCACATCGTGTGATTTAGAGAAGATGCAGTGAAACTTGGGTGTGGAAATTTAAACCTTAGGAAGTTGCTTTGATGTCGATACTCCTGGCGAAAGTGTTTTTAGTCTCAGAAAGCATTTCCTTAAAGTTGACCCTGATATTTCTACTAGTGCTCACTTACTTGCATAAGCTTTACCTTCTTTTGTTTTTTTTTTTTTTCTTTTTTTCACTTGAATTTTCCTCTGAAAACAATATGTTTTGAAAGAGAAATAAATATTAAAAATAACCATATTTTAAAGAAAAAAAAAATCGAGAGTGGATTGTTGTGGGACAGAGAGTGCCCCCACATAGTATCAGCTCTGACATGATCCGCTTAACCTGAATTGAAGAACTGCGTGATTCATTAACCTAAATAATAATAATAGTGGGTTGTTAATTCCTCTTATTGACACTAATTAATTGCAATAAGTCACTTTCAGATGCTTTTATTTTTGACTAAATCATGTGCACATTTCACCCAAGAATTTCAAATTGGAGTAGATACCTATTCAATTGATTCAATTATTAAAATACTATTATTTTTGTTGTATTTAATTGAATTTAAAATTTCACATTAATAATATAGTGATATTTAGCAAAATCATTTACTATAATCATCAAAGTAAAGCTCTAAATCTAATTAAACATCAATACATCCAATCTAATAGTTTTTTTGGCTAAATATAGACATCGCAAAATAGGTTGCTGATTTGAATCTAACCACCTTAATCAACCTTTTATTGAAAACTAGCGGCACAATAAATATTAATATATCTTATACATTGCAATATGTTACAGGACTTAAAAACAAATCAATATATTTACAAAATTTTGCAAACATTACAAAAATTAGTAATTAATCTTTATTTTAATATTTTCTCACTACTCTTACATATTTTTTCTATTTATTATTCTTTTTAAATGACATTTTTATTACATGTACTTTTACCTTTCATTAGATAATTTATAATTGATTCACAATGTGTTCAAACTATTTGTTTTGTATGAAAATGAATTGTATTTTATATCTTTAAAATTTTAATTTTTAATTTTAAAAATATTTTAGTTAAGTTTTACTCAATATATTATTTCTAAATAAAATAAAAGAGGTAACTATCATTTTATTAAAAGTAAAAAAAATTATAATAAAATTTAAAAAAAGGTGAATACTTTTTAAAATTATATCAGTATTATTTTATTAAAATTTTAAAATATATATTTATTTAAAATTAAAAAATATATTAAAAGTTGTTAATATAATTTCAAGATAAATTTATTTATTTATGTATTTTTATGTTTTTCTTGTATTTATCACATATATAATGTCTTTGTACTCAAAGACATTGCTTATGTTTTCTATTTATTTCCATCTGTTATTTTTCGTATATACATATCTTTATATATGTGTAGATAAGAGAATATGTTTACAGTGAGATTTTCGTGTGAGATGAGAAAATTGTGAAAATTAAATATTAAATTTATCACAAATGGAAAATTTTAAAATTTATGTAAGATTTTATAAATATATATATTATAGATATTATTAATTTTCTTATGATAAAGTCTAGTAAACCAAGTCAGTTAGAGTGATTATTTTTAAGTAAAAAGAGTTATGTTATAAGGTCACAATCTAAGAATGAAATACTTTATGATGGAGTTCAAGTGGATTATAACTTTTGGTCTCGATCCTAAAAAAAAAAAAATATATATATATATATATATATATATATATATATAATATAATATAATAAATATATTTTATTTTTCCTCATTTCTCTCCCATTATATAATATAGTGATATTTTTTCTAATATTATGTTTATGTATATTTCTATGTTGTAGGGAGTCAAAATAATTTTATTTTTATATACCAATGTGAAAGATTGGAAAAATATATTAAATTAAATTTAAAAAATTGTTTAAATTAGATAAGATATATTTTGACCCATTTATTTAATTTATGATCTATATATTTTTAGGCTAAGTTAGTTATAGATTTATAGGTTATTCTATTGTATAGAATAATAATATTTTTTAAAATTAAATAATATTATTTCATTTAAATATATATTATAAATTAATTTGATAAGAAATTTATTTATTTTAAAAAATAAATATAAAAAAATTTGAAAAATGATTTTTAACTTTTTTTTATTAAATAGATCTTTATTTTATAATTTATATATTAAATAATTATATTTAAAAAATTATTTTCATTAATATAATTTAAAATTTAAAAATATATTTTGAATTTTAATTATTTTTTAATTAATTATTTTTATCTACGTTAATTTTTTTTATTTTTCGATAAAGACAAAATTTGTAAGTTAACTGGTTAATCTAATATTATTAGCATGATAATGTCAGAGTCAAAGTTGATAAAAAATATTCTTTTGATGTTTTATCCGTTTGTTTCTTTTTTCTTCTTTTTTTTCCACCACCACCATTTCTTTTGCCTATCACCCATTCTTCATCATTTTTATCAGTCTCAGTGCGACCACTTTTTATTGCAATTTTATGTTTAACGTTAATCCTATTCTTTTCAGGAATCAGAAATCATCAAACATCAAAATTCATATAAAGAGTTGTGTTCCAATCCAAATATCAATAATAGTAATTACATTAATTAAATTCAATGTTACAAAATATTATTCAACAGAATAAGTTTTAAGCTAAAAAATAATTAATGTAGAAAAACAAATGAAAGAAACAACTTTTCTTGTTTCATAATAAAAAAAATTACAAAATAACATATATTTTTACTTTATTCTCATGTTTGAAAAAAATATATGAGAAATATTATTTTATAAAATTATTTTTACTTAAATAAATTATTATTATTTTTATGTTTATAATCTTAATATATATATATATATATATATATATATATATGTTTTAATAAAATATCATAAATATGAAAATGATTATAAAAATTAAAAGAATAATTTAATATTATTTATTTATAATAAAGTATTATTTTAATAATTTAATTTTTAAATATTTTAGAACACAAAAATTATAATATAAAAAAATTATAATTATATATAAAAATATATATTATTGAAAAAATAGATATATAATTTAAAGATATTATTTGAAAAAATTTATTTTATCAATAAAAATTTATTTAATAATTATATGAATAATTTTGTAATTAAATAAATATTTAATTTTAATTTAATTATTTTAAAAAAAAACTTTTTTATATTACATTTGTCTTAAAAAAATAAAATTATTTTTCATTTTATTTATTCTCTTTATATATTTTTTTCTCTCTTATTTTCTTCAGAATTTTATTTTCTTACTATACACTAAACTCTTGTGGTCTTGTTTAATGAAATCTACAAGAGTAGAGAATGAAAAACTTTTACTTGAATTTTTTATTTTGGATTTAAACTTGGAGGAATTTTTAAACATATGCATTATATTAAATAGAGTCTTAGTCGACATATAATTATATATTAGATGACTTTAGTAGTTCACACTTAAAGAATATAAAAAAATATCACTCTCCACTTTAGAAGGGCTACAACAACTTGATGAGAAAAAAAGAAAGAGCACAATACATAAATCATTTTCCATCTCCTCCTCGTTCAAGGTTCAAAGGTTCCCATTTGTAGTCATCCTTCCAACCTATGATCTTTCAAACTTCTTGGTCTAGTCTTGTTGAATATTATTCATTTTTCCACCATTCAACTATAATAAATTGAATTCCAAAGCTTAAATCACAACATTTCCACGAAATTGTCTTGCCAAATAAAGAAAATTCAGTGGGCCTCTTCAAAAATGATAAATTCCTTAATTTCGATTGTCATATATACTTGAAAAAACTCTTCTTATGGTTCTGCTTATTGGATAAAAAATTTAATCTACAAAGCTATGCGTCTAACAATTCAAAAGGATTAAGTGGATTGTTAAGTAATGGTGGTTAATTTTAATAAGCTGAGGAAAATTCTTTGTAGTTTTCAAAATCTAGAAGATTGCCACATTTTTCCATGGAAATTGGTGCTCAGTCCTTTCTTTTGTTTGCTTTCTCTTCACTTTCCTTTTGCTTTATTATTATTATTATTATTATTATTATTATTATTATTATTATTATTATTATTATTATTATTATTATTATTATTTATAGTTGAAGTGCCTGATATCTTTTTTAAAGAAGAAGAAAAATTAGATACAATATGATGTGATTTTTTTATGTTTAAATTAAAAAATTTAACTTTATTTCGATAATATACAAAATAAAAAATATATGCAAACTACTAAACAAAACTTTAGTTGTTATAGATTGGAAAACAATACAAATAATATATATAAAAGGTTTATTTATTGAAGACAGTTAATATCACACTGTGTCACATTATTTTAAAAAACTTGTTATAACTAATTAAAACTTATTGAAAACCAAACAAATTGGAAAGAGATTTTTAAAAATAAATCAATCCTAAAATTTAAATAATTTTTCGTGTAAATTAAAATAATCACATATGATACTGCATTTGTTTAGTATTTGTATTCGTTGGATGACAGCTAATTGAACGTCAGAAAAATATTATATTTAGTAGTTTTTTTAAAACTACTACTGTCAATGATGGTTTAATTTTTTATTTAAATTTTAAAAAGATAATTTTTTATTTAAATAAAAATTTGTTGCTCTGTCAATATTGCAATAGCAAAAGGAAACATTATATAAGAAAATTAAAGTCAATGATTAGTTAACATGAAATACAAAAGTTTAGATTGACGGAAACTACACAATAAAATGAAA